ATCATCTTTCTTCTTTATCCACATAAGTAACTAGTAATCTGGAAAAGATTATAATACACCTGGACAATACACATCACACATATTTATCACTTCGATAATTTATTCTCACAGCCCACACATGGAGCTTCTCCCCAGAAACATTGGGTCTTTGAGCCCACTTATCCATTTCTCACATTCCATGGGCCCATTCGCCCGAATTAACATCCACGGGCCTTGACCGCCCAATACAACATTTCTCAATTGCACATATATAGTACGACCTTTTTATCTACTTTTCACAATTGCACAATCATCATAACATTCAAAATTTTAATACCGCATAACATAATATCAACCCAATTCAAGATTAATTCGAGACTTTAGTCAAACACTCATCTTTGAAGCTATAACATGAAATATGATATTTTAAAAATTTTCTTCTCCCATTCCATCATACGAACACAACCATTTCACAATCATCCATAACCATGATTTAAATGAAAGGCATTCTAACTACCATTTGAAGTAATAATGATGCATGTGAATTTCACACCACATTTTCTGGGATTAAATAAAAATTAACCGAACCACTTATTCAATGTACTATCAACATTCATCGACTAATACTCTGCCTCAGAATAAATTAGCACAATACATGAGCTCAAAACATCGATACCACTCAAGAGCAAGGTCATATAAGCAACACAAGACTCTAAACCAACAAGATCAAACCCATAAGTAGCGTCCCGTCAGAGTTACAAATGACATTACCCAAAATTGTTCCAACACTAAGGTAAAGGTACGAGGACCTAATCCCTAAGCTCTGATACCATTAAAATTGTCACGTCCCGATCCCGACGTACGTCCAGGATCGACATGTGACGTCATCAAATACCTATATCTCGAATATACCCCGCCTTCAGAATATATACATAGCATAATTCAAGGTACAAGTTGCATAATAATTTTTCATAAGCTTTATGGCTGCATCTAACCTCCTCGTTAGACTGCCTACGTACCCTAAACAGGGATCAAACCATTCGTAGTTCATTGTTCACTAATTTAGATAATTATTCCAATGCAATCTAACAGGAATACATAGCATTTTGTAATCAATTATTAGAACTTGACTTGCATGACATTACCAAGTTCCGGCTACAAAACAAACCAACATACCGTTCAAAGTTCTCATTCCATCCATCATATAAATTCCATATTTTCAACACGATACTTCCATCCACAGCATGTAACATAATGAATAACCAACGAAGCACATAATATTCTCAAACCACATTGATCAATTAAAAATAATCATAATATTAACAATGTGACAATATATGCTACCAACATCTGGAAGAAGATCAAAACTAGATATCTGCACATACGCATAATCGCGAGCACAAAACTCATTAAAACCATAGTCTTGAAAGACGTTCGAAAGCTTTAGAAAGAGATAAATTGGTTTGATTGTCACGCCCCAATCCCGACATACGTCCAGGATCGACATGTGACGTCACTAAGTACCCGTATATCTAACATACCTCGCCACCGAGATATGTACAAAGCATAAATTAAGATTCAAATTTCATAGCATTTTTCGTACAATTTATGGTTGCATCCAACCTCTTCGTTAGACTGCCTACGTACCCTCAATAGGGATCAAGCCATTCGTAGTTCAACACTCACAAAAACAAATATTTATCACACTCAATCAAGCATAAAAGTATAGCATTCCTCCATCATTTACTATAACCCGACAACATGGAATTCTTGGACTCATGCTACATAACAAACCCCCATGAAAATCATGATTTCACTTTCATCCAACATATAATTCATTATGTCTCATCACATAGCTATTCACAACATACGTTATATTTAATAACCGATGAAGCACATAACCATTCTCTAGCCACATGAAATAATTAATCTGATCAAAATAATATCAATCATTCCCATATTTTCTAAATTCATACTTGATAAAATCATAATCGAATCGTAGAGAATCCCGAAGGAGTCAGCCAGACGTTCAACATCTTTTCTAACTCAATTCACAGGATTCTCAAACCATTGTCACAAATATATATAAAACTAAGGCTAGAGTGATACCCTTAGGCCTAGCCTACTACTCTGAAATAGGGATTTCAGACCTCTCAACGAAACCAAGATACAAAAGGGGATTCCAGACCATTACTCAACAGAATCCGAACCATATACCAGAGCCAAGGCAACAAAGGGGATTCTGGACCATCACTCAACGGAATCCAAACAAGCATATGATTCCGGACCATCACTCAACGGAATCACAGAATACAGAATAGAAGGGATTCCGGAACATCACTCAACGGAATCTCAGAATACAGAATAGAAGGGATTCCGGAACATCACTCAACGGAATCCAAACAGAACTTAGTTCCGAACCATTCAACAGAACCGAACGGAAGTCCAAGAAGCATAACTACGGCTCGAAGGAACAAGATAGGATTCAATTTACTCAAATCACGAAGACTCAACAAAACGAACTAATATTGAGCAACAAATCCCCATCACAATAGGTTATCGATCCATTACTAGATCTCACATCTCCCAAGCAATTCAATAGGCATTTCCATTACATGACACAACCATTTCCAATTCACACGTCAAATCACATTTCACCACATCATACCAATCCCTATGCTTCCAACAATATATCTCTATCCATAGCTTGTAACATATCAGGGAATCACGAAGCACAATATTAATATTTAATTACGTTAATCAATCAGTGAGATAGCACATCATTTCACGAGTTTAATCAAAGAACTCTACATAATTCCCTAATTGAGTTATGAATAATAACATGGTAATTCTAATTTGTATTCACAAGATCCATTGTGGGTAATTTCCATTCACTCGAATCTAGGATTCTAAGATAACACTATGGAAATCAGCAAGAGCAAGGATTTCGAACCACTCAACGTAATCCAACAATATCGGGTTCCGGACTACTCAACGGAACCAAAATATCAAATAGTTTCTCATAATTTACCCAGACCTGTCGCATGTGAAATGAGTGCCTACATCATGGAAATGGTGCATCGGGCAAACAACAACCCGGATAAGCTACGAAGCTCGTGTGAGCAACAATAATACAAAGTATGTGATAATAATGATAAAACCAACCATCAATCACGGTTTATAAACTTTGAATATAAATTATTCATAAGAAATTAATACCAAACCTTTGCAAATTCCGAATGAGTCACACAGACATCCAACGGCTTTTCTAAATCAAACTCAAGGTTCTCGAAGCCAAAATTCACGGATACACTCAAAACTAGAGCTAGAGAGACTGAGTGTCACCTAACCCCATGACACTAAGGTAACGATCCTTTACAATTCCTCATATTTATCAAACCATCAAATACATATATCGAAACACAATCCATCAATAGTTCAAATATCCAAGTCACATAATGTTTCATAAGTAGATCGATGGCAAACTTGATAACAACAATTATTTAGCATAAGATGGCAAACTTGATAACAACAATTATTTAGCATAAGACCTATTTTAAGAATCTATGATGTAACCACAAAGTATATTAGCACGGAAGATTTCAAAGTAATAACCATATCACACAGATTAAAATCACTCATATTAGGTCCACACTAACACATTATAGCATGGAATTCAAGGCGTCAAGCTCTATCACCGCCTAAAACAAGCACAACTCCACATTTAGATTTCTCTCGATAAATTCACATACTCAAAACTCTCATAAGTCTCTCACAACGACATTTAATGAGAATTAGATCGTCGATCAAAGATATGGTCCATGATCTTACATCACTTGCTCCGTAAGATCCAACCACTAGATTTTCACTAGTAAGTCCCTAAGGTCCTTAAACAATATCTACAATTGTCATGAAAATAATCATACTCATCATTCACATTACTAAAAGGATAATTAAACTCACATATATCACAACCATCATCAATACACAATCCAAATCATGCTAATAAGCATATGACTACGGCTAAATATATAAAATCACATTTCAATAGAAATCACATTTATAACACCAAGCCATATTCACAATGATATAAATATAAGAATTTAAAGTATCTTCAACTGTTAGAATATCCAAGTGGTGGACCTATCTAAATATACTCAACCAACAACATTTCATAAATCGAATGCCACACATCGAAAAATTGGACTTTTTCCAAAAATTCTCATAATTTACAAGAATGAAGATCTCAACAAGGGAAACATTATTCACAACTAGGCCAACAACAAATTCTAACCGGAAACCATCCAAATTCCTCGGGGAAAACCGGGTTTCTAGGGTTTTAAACACCCAACTCTAAAATGAATACGAAAGCACAAACCAAGCATACCAACATGGAGATTATGAAGAGTAGATGAAGTTTAATACCTCACTCGAAGGAAATGGTTGCCGGAATCACCGGAAAAATGACACAATCGCCGGAAAACCCACGGGACTTTGCTGCCTCGAACTGGAAACGTGGATCAGAAAATGGGAAATCTAACACCATAGGGTCGTAGGGCTTTTCAAGAGCTTTCCATGGACACCAAGATCACCCAAAACGGAGCTCGGATGAAGAAGATATGAGCGGGTCAAGTTTATGGGTCAAAATGGTCGAAAATGACCAAAAACGGGTCAAAATTAGACCCTCCTCCCCCTTTCTTTTTTCTGTCCGATCCCTTTTATTCCCCTTTCTCCCTGGTCCCTCTCCCACTATGTGGGAGTTTTAAAATAAATTAAAACATATAGATTAGTAACACAACTTCAAATATCCGTAACTATACCGTTAAAACTCGGACTCGCAAGCGGCTTTCACCTATACATTCGTGATCTCAAAATCTATTCAACGATATAAATTGTGACCTCGAAAGGTCCACGGATTTTAAATAATTAATCTCCAAACTTCAAACTTCGTAATTAATTTAATTAAAATCTTAATTCAAACAAATTAAAATAAATTCTAAAAAAATAATATAAAATCTCAATAATACAAATACGTAGATTATAACAGTGAAATCCAGGAACGGGATTTCACATTGATTCAGTACCAAATACCAAGAAACACAGAATTGCTGGTGATCGTACAAGGTCAAAGCTTTTCCTCTTGTTCAAATTCACAACATCAATAGAACGTTAATATAAACCAAATTTCGATAACCCAAATTCCGTTAAACCAAGGTCCATAAGGCTTCCGTAAGACGTTCAGTTTATCGGAAGGCAGAAAATTTTCCCAACAATTCATTGTAACTAGTAAAATTAGTCAGTTCTGCAAGAAACAGTAATACATTACCCATAACAGCATTCCAACAGTCACCCATTAAATTCAACCAACAGTAATTAATTACTCTAATCTTAAACGGTATCATATATTTATAAACAGTCGCACAATTACACATTTTCTATTTTTGAAATTCCCAAAAGAAATCAAAAGATTAATATACCTCTTAATTTGAACTGAAATTCCACTTTTCCTTTCAAAAATCCCAAAAGGGAGTAAAACTTTATTCTTTTCAGTCCCATCATTTTCTTGGGAAACAACAGAAAATTAGATCAAAGCCAAAGGGAGGAGAGTTGGCCGAAATACCTGAAGAAGTTGAATATTCAAGAAGTAGAGGGATCTCCAGATACTTGGCGGCCGTCGAATCTGCGGCTCTGACTTCTTTGATCGCGGCATATATAAAAAAAACAGTGATGAATCGGAGGGAGAGAGAGAGAGACAAAGATAGAGAATCGATGTAGTGTAGCTTGGGGGAAAGTGTCAGACGAGAAGGAGACTCCCCCCCAAGAAAAGTCTTTCCCCCCTTCCTTTTCCTTTCTTACCTTTCCGAATGGATTTCCTGCTGCCATCTCAAGCCATGTTCTATTCATGTAGAAAACCTTCATCAGTAAGCCAAGATGAAATGCATAAAAAACCCCTCTTGATAAAATAACTTCCGGCCTTTTTATCACCAATTGTCCCTGTACTATTCCAAACTCCTGATTTTAGTCCCTATTCTTTTTATTCAATCGATATCCTCCCTATTCTATATGGCATGCATCAATGTTATCCTTACCATTAATTCCATCCATTTTGCTGTCAAATTGAGGGTAAAATTGGAAAATCACTCCCACACACAACTTCAAACATACGTAACTATACCGTTATAATCCGGACTCGCAAACGGCTTTCGCCTATACGTTCGTGACTTCGAAACCTATTCGAAAACGTTACTTGTGACCTCGAAATGTCAACGAGTAAATAGTAATTTTCCAAACTTCACTCTTCGTAACTAGTTTAATTGAAATCTAATTTCAAGTAAATTAATATAAATTCTCGAAAAATAATATAAATCTCAATAATACAATTACGTAGATTATAACAGTGAAATCCAATAATGGGATTTCACAAGGCCCGACTTAGCTTATGTAGTAAGTAGGCTTAGTAGATACAAGTAATTCGGCACAAGAGCATTGAGATGCTTTAGTAAGAGTGTTAAGGTATTTGAAAAATACACTTGACTGCGGATTACACTACACAAAGTATCCACCTGTTGTCGAAGGCTTCAGTGATGCCAATTGGATTTCTGACACTACAGAATCTAAGTCGACAAGTGGATATGTTTTTACTTTGGGAGGTGCAGCAATATCTTGGAAATCCTCTAAACAGAAATGTATAGCTCGTTCCACAATGGAGTCTGAGTTTATAGCTTTAGACTTGGCTGGCGAAGAAGCCGAGTGGCTCAAACATTTTTTGGAGGATATTCCAGTATGGCCAAAGCCCGTAACTGCTATATGTATACATTGTGACAGTATGGCCGCACAATCAAGGACCAAAAGTCATGTATACAATGGCAAGTCGCGACACATTAGGCGTCGGCATAATACTCTTAAGAAGTTGCTCTCCAATGGAACAATATCCATTGATTATGTAAAGTCAAAGGAAAATATAGTTGATCCTTTGACAAAAGGCCTACCAAGAGAGCAAATATTATTTACATCGAGGGGAATGGGTCTTAAGCCAATTCAATGAATCGAACTGGGCGGAAACCTAACCTAGCTGATTGGAGATCCCATGGTCTAGGTTCAATAGGCAAACTGGTTGAGTTTGATTCAAAAGTTAAACACACAACTTACCCATTCTTATGATAAAATGTGTGTTGTCTGTTGAAGTTTGAGGGGTTATGTTTTATACATTTAATGACATTAATATCTTGTTATCAAGAGGAATATGGCAGATTATTCTTAATTAATGTCACCTATATAGGAGCAAATGGGGCTGCATTTATGAGAATTGAAATGGCTAAATTCTCTAAAGCTCCTACGAAATCCGGGATCTGTTCAGGGCCGAAATGAATACAACCGTATTAATTGACGTGTGGCAGACATGATATGTGTGTAGCATATTGTCTCGGTTTACTACTGCGGTGAACAGTTCAAGATCTTCCACATCCACTGCGTCACCAAGTAAACTCGATATGTTTTCACTACGGTAAGTTCAAGCCCAAAAGACACTTCACCCGATGCATATCATGCCTATTCTCTTTCAGTTTTAGGCAACATAGTCATCCATTTGCATTTACATTTGCATTCAAATGTGGGGTAATTGTTGGAGTTTGAATGAAATTTCAACTCAAATGTGGGGTATTGTTGGAAATTTGAGTAGTTTGAGTAGAAATTTCTTTGTCCCACATTGGCCATTCCCAAAAGATTTTATCACTTTATAAGGCTTTATCCTTTATAGAAAGTGATTGGAGTAATAGGCCTGGAGACTAAAATTGGGATCACCCTTGGGGTTGGGCTTTGGGGTGTACTAATTAATTGATAATTAATATATAATTAATTATAATTAATATATAACTAATATATATTTAATTGTCAAAAGATGGGCCTTGGGCTCTAATAATTAAATTATTTATTTATTTTCGGAATTAATTAATTATTTTTAATTTCGAATTTAAATTAATTAATTATTTTTGCCAACAGACTCATCTTTTCAGATGAAGTCTGAAGTGTGAAAACGCAGAAACAAAAACACCCTTTTCAGCAGATGTCTCCCAACAGATGCATCCCTTCCTCATACCTGTTGCGAACATGTATAATCACATTATATATACATTCATCTGCATGACATTTAGAATACAGAAAATAATCAACTTCATCTTCTACATTCCTAAACCTTCTTACTGAGAGAACCACACTAAATTCGCCAGAAGTTAAATTTTCCGGTGCTGGAATTTTAATTTGATCGTTGAATCCTGGTGAAGCAGACGTCCGTAGAACTACAAGCACAGAGTAGGGACGAAATTTCTGTTTCAAGGACATTGCGGTACGCAAGCCTCGATCTTCAAGTTGTCTGTTTTTATAATTCGTATTCTAGTTTATATTCTGTTAATTCCTATTGCATTTATTATTTATTAGCATATATAAATTATCACAAATTGTTGACAAAAATCCAACAACACTAAAACTCATCTTAATGTGAAAATTATGTTAAGCCAATTAATTGGTGACTTGAAGAGCCGTCTTTTTGGCTCAGACCTCTCCCATTCCAGTTGTCGCTTTTCTTTTTGTTCCTAGCATTCCTTTGACACTTCCCCGAGGAGGTCTCCAAATATTTTGCTCGTGTTCTTTGCTTGTACCAACACTGACTTCCCACTGTTTTACAAAACATTTGTGTCAATAATGGAGAAATGCTCATATGCGACTAAGATTTAATCTTGATAGCGTCACCATCCAATAAATGCAATAAAGAGTCATGTGTTCAAAAAGTGCACTAATAGATGATTGACAGGTGATGGATTAGTGATACGAGAAAATCTCTCCCAATAATGACATTTGACAAAAGCACGGGCCCTGTTTGCTTTTTACACACAAATAGGGAGGGTGCACGTTGGAGTAAATAAGTTCAGGTCCTATTTGGTGA